TCTTCTTCTTCTTCTTCTTCTTCTTCTTCTTCTTCTTCTTCTTCTTCTTCTTCTTCTTCTTCTTCTTCGTCGTCGTCGTCGTCGTCGTCGTCGTTCAACTTCTCCGTGTGCTCGTCGTCCTCCACTTCTCTCCCGCCACTTCGTTCCTTCTCATCCGCCATCGTCCACCACCCTTCCGCCACTTCGTTCCTTCTCTTCTGACATATCCCGCCACCTCCCACTACCCCTCTTGCTACCTCCCACTACACCTCCTGCTATCTCCCACGTCCCTCCCACCATCCTCCACCTCCCTCCCGCCACCTCCTACCTCCTCTCCTACCATCTCCCACTTCCCTCTCTCCTTCTTCCACCTCCCTCCCACCATTTCCCACCTCCCTCTCTTTAGCCATCTCCCACTTAACTCCCGCCACCTCCTCCCTCAATCAGGCCATCTCCCACCTCCCCGCCTGCAACCTCCTACCTCCCTTTCGCCACCTTTAACTTCCCACCCTCCTCTCTCCATCTTCCACCTCCCTCTCACCATCCTCGCCAGTGTGGAAAAGGTTGATTCAGGCACATCTTTGCATGCGCAACAACCCCCTATCACCAGACGATTGTGACGTCTGAGAGTAATGGCAGTAACCGGCAACGGGGCCGCCTGTCGAGCGCATCGGCTCCCGTGCGTTGCAAAAAGGCGGGAGCCGATGCGCTCAACACCGGCATTGCACCCGGTCAAAAAATGAGACCTTAGAAATAGGGGAAAATAATAAGAATAAAAATGAAAATAAACGGATAAAAATAGTGGAACTGAAGAGGACAGGGACTCGCCGACACCCACCTCGTCTTGCCAGTCGGGCCCATCTCGGGGCCCGTCCGGCAAAAACCAAGGGTGAATAGTCCCACAAAACCCTCGACCCCTCAATCTCTCCTCTGCTCCATCACCGCTTACTGACCTCGAACCCCAAACCCGTTGCTTGAAAATCAAGTACCGAAACCAATAGAACTAAGCTCAAGGGTAAACTAGGCAAGCGCGAATCTACATATAAACATTCTTGGGTCTGTGATTGGGTTTACCAGTACAAACCAGGCTTTCGCCTTGGCCCACTGCCCAGTCCCCCGACCGCCACATGACGTCGTTCGTGGCTAGGCTCATAGCTATTTGGCACCATGGTCATAAGACACACCATACATATCGTGAAAACTCTCGACTTTCCTCATGCTAAGCCTGACAAAGCCACGCCTTTCAACGCATCGTCAAACACAATTTTCATGCGCGCCTGCAAAGTAAAATTTATATCTCCCTCACTATTAGCCCCGCCATAGGCCGAGCCGGTTCGCGAAGTAAAGCTAGTCTTTATGAAATAGAAGAAAAATATAACCAAATTGAAAACTACAGAAAAGGTAGCCGGACCCTATGGCTTTGGCGCCTTCCGTCGGCCTGGTATTGCCGATGACTAACGACCATCTCACAGTGCAACATAATAATGCGGTCCCCCCCACACTCTCTAATTCGATCGTATTCGATTCAGACTCTCGCCAAGAGCGAGGTTGCCGAGGTGAGCACCCTGACGAGATCTGTCCCATCAGCGCGTTACGTTGATCAAGGGCGCACCCAGTGCGACCTTTAAAAAGGACGGCAAATACCCTTGTAAGGGTGTTTGCTACGACAACGTCAGAGAGAGAGAGAGAGAGAGAGAGAGAGAGAGAGAGAGAGAGAGAGAGAGAGAGAGAGAGAGAGAGAGAGAGGGCAGGAGCTAAATCACACTAACCTGGACTTATAGTTGGTTCCGAGTATGCACCTGATCCTGCCGTCCGATCTGAAAAACTCACGGCTACACTGTGGCCTCATTGAAAAATACTCCAAGCGAAGACTTAGGGTCTGATCCCACCACTACACTACGACTGTAGACGTGAAAAAGGACTACGAAGATGTCAGCAGCCGTGTCGGGACAAAAAAGAGAAACTGGACAAAAAAGAGAAACTGGATCCTGCGAGGGCGACTTCTTCGGTGGTTTTCCTGGACCCGCGGCGGTTCTTCATGGGCTGTTACAGACTCCACCAAACAAAATGCCACACAACTCTGTGGTCCACAGACATTCCTGATGCTGCAAACGGACAAACGAGAAGAAAAAAAAAAACATAAAAAAAATTGCTCCCTCTTTTTCGCTGTGGTGAAGCCCTCACTGTCTACAGAAAAGTTGTAGTATTTATAAATTAAAAAGATAAAAAATAAAAATAAAAAATAAAGTTGTAGTAACTACGTTTACTCCCTTACCGGACTTGCTGCCAGGACACACCCAAGCGAAAGTAAGGCAAAATATCTGGGGCAACCGAACACTGGTGGGATCTGAAAACTACACTGTAAGTGGGCTCTAGTGTGGTGGTAGGATCAGACCCTAAACCCCATCTACTGCTAGTTGTCCTGTTCGCTAGAGACACCTCCAAAAAAAAGCCTGAGTATGGGGCTTGCACCACCGCACAACCTCCCAGTGAATCTAGCTCTCATTACCATTCAGGTAGATTCCAATTGTGGGCGAATGTATACGCTCCCAGAAACAATCCACATACATGTAGAACCTTGAGTAGTGGAGCGAGGCCCGATGCCAGCCTGTTTCGTCAGACTTTCACCAACTTGTCACGAAGGTGCTATCCCGACAGTATGCCCACGATTCAGGGCCTAGTTGCACCACTCTCGAAATGTGAAAAACACAAAAATGTGGCGGGTGCATCTTGCCATGTTCTGGGGGAAGTTCATTCGCATTTTGCACATTTCAGCAGTTGATGTGATGTGGCGATGCGCTCATTTGACCGACCGATGGACAAGGACTCACAGCGTCGTGCCACGCTTCAGCACTACTCACCACATGTGCGAAATGCGAATTAATCTTCGGGCAGAACATGGGAAGATGCATCGCCAGAAATTTGTCTTTTGTGCATGTGTGATGAGTAGAGTAGTGGAGCGAGGCCCATCGTGTGTGCGGACGACGGCCGTAGCTCAGCTGGTACTGGTACACCCATGATGAAATGAAATGGAGGACTGTTGAAAAACAGCCATGAGTTCGAACCCAAATGGACGTCGATGGATAGAAAAAGCAAGTGTTGAAATACGGACTTGTGCTCGAACCCAAATGGACCTAGACGAACTAAAAAACACTTGAAAAAAAAAAAAAAAAAAAAAAAAAAAACACTTGAACTACCTGGGGGCCAGTCTGTTCCCAAAATGATATGCCACATCGTGTGTGCGGACGACGGGCCGGGTAGCGTGTATTGTATGCCGCCGACTACAGTAGCAAAGAGTGGCAGCCGCTACGCCAAGAAGGTGACGGTAAGTCTGCTGCGTGCGCATGGCCCCTTATGATCGGACAGTTTGACGTTTCACGATGCTCCACGTGGCATGCATTCATGTAATGCCACGGACCATGGAAGTGCCGGCCACGTGGCTCAGCATGCATCCACGGGACTGCCATGGTGATTTTCGCGTTTGCCTGTGGGATGCAAGGCACGTGCATGCAACGTGCATGCCACGTGGATGCGACGCGCATGCATGCTGAGCAGGTGGCACCGAAGTGCCTGCCACGTGGCTCAGCATGCATCCACGTGACTGCCATGGTGATTTGGGCGTTTCGCCGCCACTGCCGCATGCATGTCACGTGCATGCAACGCGCGTGCAACGTGGATGCATGCCACGTGGATACAACGTGGATGCATGCATGCTGAGCCTACGAAGCTTCACCCCACCTGGAGTCAATCCTCCTCCCCCGCTCCCTATCGTGCGAAGATACTCATTCCTTTTGTCGTCTATTGTTGTTTCTTTCTGGAAAAGTTAATTTCTGGCCTAATTTCCCCACATGCATGCCACGTGCACGCAGCGTGCATGCAACGTGCATGCAACGTGGGCACAACGTTGGATGCATGCTGAGTCTACTGAGCTTCACCCCACCTGGAGTAAAATCCTCCTCCCGCTCTCTGTCGTGCACGGATATTCATTTCTTTTTCCATTTGTTCTTTTTTTGTTTTTTTTGTTTTTTTGTTTCGAAGGTTCATTTCTGGCCCTTGACGATCTCCATATCGACGGCTAGAAATGAGTAATTGGGGTAAGGAGGGCCTGCCGGCGCTCCCGGAAATCCGCTTGTGGAGAGGCCGCAACGTCTGCCAGCTATTGGTGACTGCCGCCCTCCCAGTTCCTGGCGCGAAGTCCCACTAGCAAACGGGATTGGATGAAGGGCCTGAATCTGGACATGATTTCATGCAGAGATGCTGACAAGCGTATCAATCGCGCGATTTTCTGCACCTGCCCGCAAGCACGTCCAGATTCGGTCGTTAAATCTAAATCCAATCCTCTCTTTGCTAGTGGGACCTCGCCTCTGGCTGGGTCAAGCTGGCTGTCCTCTTTTCTTCTTTTCCCGCTTCTTTCATTTTCTTTCGTTTTTTTGGTTGTTTTTTTTTCACCCCCTCTGATGAGAGCCCGCTGTGGTACCCCACGCGCTCAGTTCTGTCTTGCTACAATCTGCTTGAGCTTCACATGGTGTCAATCCTCCCCTTCCTCCTCCCCCTCCTCCTCCTCCATCGCCTCTTGCTCTTAACCACTACTTGTCCTGCTACGCTTTTCTGGACCACGTACCTTTGGAGAGGTGCTAACATGAGCCTCTGAATGTACCGGAGCGATTTTGAGCTCCGGATACATAGGGAGTGTTGTGTAGTGGAGCGAGGCCCTAATTTCTCGAACTCGCCCTCCTCCTCCTCTCCTCCCCTCCTCCTCCTCCTTGTCCCCCCCCCCCCCCCCCCCCCTCTCTGTTTGTTTATCTCTCTCTCTCTCTCTCTCTCTCTCTCCCCCCCCCCCCCCCCCCCTATCCCCCCCCCCCCCCTCCTCTCTCTCTCTCTCTCTCTCTCTCTCTCTCTCTCTCTCTCTCCCCTCTTCCTCTGCTTAGGAGTCATGACACGAGGACAGAATCGGGTGGCAGGACGAATGTTATCTGTTTCAATAATAGGATAGTCTCTGAATCTGACCGTAATTGCGGACATGTGCTGAAAGAGAGAGAGAGCACGTGCTCGCGCGACTCTGCCTGTCTTGTGTCCGTCTGCGTGAGCGCGTCTGTCGTGTGTGTGCGCGCTGTGTGGAGAGAGAGAGAGAGAGAGAGAGAGAGAGAGAGAGAGAGAGAGAGAGAGAGAAGGGTAATATAAGTAAAACAACGAAAAAATCGAAAATTAAAAAAAGATGAAATGAATCCGGTGGTGTGAGCGTGTCTGAGCTCGTCACGAATTGTGCGTTTTTTTTCATTTTTAATTTTCCCCCTAGTCTTTCTCCTTTGTCTACACGAGCCAGGAAACGGGCCCGGCGTCCCTCACAATCGTTTTGCAGACCCCTCGATGAACGAAGCATACATTATCGGCCAAGTTCAGGAGCGGAACCACTTCGAACAACAGAAAAGGAGAAAAACCCAGCTACCCGTCTTCCCCCGAACATAACGCATAGGCGTTGTATTCGAGTTTTGGAAGAATTCAAGTAGCTCTGTGGCTGTGAAGCCCAAGCAAAAAAACATGAAAAAAAAAAGGAAGGGAAAGACCTGCAGGTTTTCAGCTTGTAAGCTATAAGCTGGATGATGCTTCCAGTTTTTTTAAAAAAAAAAGAGGGATTTAGGGGGAAAAAAGGAAAAAGAAAGAAAACAAAAGGATGTACTCTTATCAACGGACAGGAGTCCTCCAGCTCTCTTACCACCACTTGTTTTTTTTTTTTTTTTTTTTTTTTTTTTTTTTTTTTTTTTTTTTTTTTTTTACCACCACTTGATCACAGGGGGGGCAAAGGATAAAAAAAAAAGAAAAAAAAAAGGTTTTTTTTTGGTCTCTCACCACGGGAAAGAAACAAACCATTTGAAAAAAAAAGGATTTGAAGTTCGAGATCACTAAAAGCCACCAGACCCTCTCACCAAGGGAAAGAAACAGAAAAAAACATTTAGACAATTTCTCGGTTTATGCGTGTCATCCTTGAAAACGCAGGGGCCATGCTGATCTTCTCTCTCTGTATCGTTCCAATTTTAACGGATGTCCCGAAGCACGAGAAGAGAGAGAGGCTGTGAATAATTTCTAGGCGCCTGACAGACAGAGGGCTTCTCGGTTATGGGTACCGTCTCCGAGCTGCACCCATTTCCAGCTGCTTCGCGCCACGGAAAGGCGGATCGAGAAGAGTGAAACGCCACCAGACCCGCTCACCACCGACAGAGCGAAGAAAAAAATTTGGACCATTTCTCGATTTATGCGTGTCATCCTTGCGCAGGGGCCATGCTAATCTTCTCTGTATCGTTCCAATTTTAACGGATGTCCCGAAGGACGATACCACTGTACGACATCAGAGTTTATATAATGTGGGAAGGACAAAGCTCGGGCCGGTTATGGGATAGGATGGCTCTCCCTACTTCGTTCCTTGCAGCTCGTTTCCACGAAAAAAAAAGACGGTCGTGACTATTGCCGAAGAAGAGAAAAGGACACAAACTGCCCAAAAACTGCCGGCACGTCTGTGGCTGCTAATGAACAAGACGGCTATTCTAGCTACAGACGAAAATTGTCTAGTAACGCAATTGTTGAAATTAAAAAAAAAGAAAAAAAAGAATTAGACTGAAGTTCGAGTCCAGATGCAGGGCCTGGCTACACCACTCTTGAAAACTCGTTTTCAAGAGTTTGTGCATCGCCACACAGCCTCTCAAAACTTGGGGCAGTCAAGGGCTGTCAGAGCTGCTCTTGAAGGGGCTCTGGAAAGATGGGAAACCCCAGCCTGCAACTCGTGCGTTTTCAAGCTTCCTCGGCCAAACCCTTGAGGGACTTTCGATTTTCGAGAGTTGTCAGGCCGTTATCCTGACGCCATTCGGAAAAAACAAAGCTGTTCGACTGTCGTTTTTCATCGGTGTTGGACCCTTTAGAGAGTGCTGTGTGGCGAGGGGCCGGAAACTCTTGAAAACCCAACTCTTGAGAACGTCTGACAGCTCTTGAAAAAATTCACCATTTCAAGAGTGGTGTGGCGAGGCCCGCAATCAGATGCGCAGAACAAAATAATTATGAATTACCTGGGGGTGGCCAGTATATATATATATAAGTCCGGGGTGTTGTAGAGGCCAGTTACTAGGCTCACATTGATCGCCGGAAGCTGTCAGCCACTGTCAGCCATCATTGCCCTGAAAAGACGGGGCTACCTCCCATCCCATCCTCACGTCAATACTCCTAGCGCACCCCCTATTCCTACTACCCTACCTCAGTGTGACCAGCACTCAGGACCATTACCCTACCATTCCAGGGGAACTTGGACCGAACAGTAGTGACAGGTACCAGGGTCCTCCGAACACAACGCACCCTCATTTTGACTGTATCGGGCCGGAAACATGCCTTGCATACGTTCATTTTCAGGGTGCGTTATGTTCGGGGGAAGACGGTAGTGACCCAGCCCTGGTGGAAGCGTAGTTGAACCAGCCTCATCGTACGGGAACTTCGGACGCCAGGCTCAAGCAATCACCTATTAGCCCCAAAGTAGACCGAGTAGTAACTCATGCCCTCTCTTATCATCGAGACGCCTATTATTAGTTGGTCGTGACCTCCTCCCAGCCCTATGGTTATGTATGTGTGAGTGTCCGGTATTGTAGGTATGTGCCCGCAGGCTATGTGTATGCTTGTAATGCGCGTGGACCCGTAGCAGACGCTGCTCCCCACCATGGAGCATCTCCGAAGTGAATACCAGTGAGAGGTGCTCTTATCACCTCTACCAGTGCCTGTGTGAGCCATGTGTAGGTAGTATGTATAGGCGCCCTAGAAACACCTTGCCTCGACGCAGCGGAGGGGCGACCCTATGCGCTCTTAATCTGCTGCCAACGAATAGACAGCCCTCCTCCAGATCCCCGTTCATCGGCTGAGGCTCCTCCCCCCCCAAAGGACCCCATGCCTACTTGCTCTATCCTCAGTAGAGACTGTCTCCCACCTATCAGCAGAATCAGGTCATTGGCTAGGTACTTCCTATAGGGATCGGAAAGGACAGACTACAGACTCAGTAGGTGGTGGGCCATCATCCGTCCTTCCACTAGCCCCCAGCCTCATCCCTCCGATCAGCCTATCGTGGTTTAACTTATACCTGTAGTCAGTATCTTGGGTAGTGTCTATCATGTGTGTGTGTGTGTGTGTGAATCTGGGGTAGTGTCTCGTGTGTGGGTGGTGTCTATCATGTGTGTGATGTAACATGTGGTAGAGACAGGCCTATCTGGACAGGACCCCTCCAAAGTCCAGGACCGGACTCAAATCTGTGACCTACAGTATGAGACTGGAGGGTTCTACCACATGCACTACCATAGG